ATGTTTGACCATGACTGATCATGATTGATCATTATGATCATGACTGATCATGATTGATCATGACTGATCATGATTGATCATTATCATCGTTATTGATCATTATGATCATGACTGATCATGATTGACCATTATGATGATCATGACTGATCATGATTGATCATTATGATCGTGATTGATCATTATGATCATGACTGATCATGATTGATCATTATGTTCATTACTGATCATGATTGGTCATTAACATCATGATCGTGATTGATCATTATGATCATGAATGATCATGATTGATCATTATGATCGTGATTGATCATTATGATCATGATAGATTTGTATAGTCGTGGTTGTTCATTATGATGATCATGACTGATCATGTTTGATCATTATGATCGATATTGTTCATGATGATCATGATATATCATTATAATCATGATTGTTCATGATGATCATGATTGATCATGATTGATCATTATGGTCGTGATGGATCATTATGATCATAATATTTCATTATAATCATGATTGTTCATTATGATCATGACTGATCATGACTGATCATTATGATCGTGATTGATCATTATGATCATGATAGATCTTTTTAATTATAATCATCATTGTTCATTATGATCATGACTGATCATGATTGATCATTATGATTTTGATTGATCATTATGATCATGATAGATCATTATAGTCATGATTGTTCATTGAGATCATGACTGATCATGATTGATCATTATGTTCGTGGTTGATCATTGTGATCATGATTGATCATAATAGATCATTATGATCATGATTGATCATTATGATCATGACTGATCATGATTGATCATTATGATCGTGATTGATCATTGTGATCATGATTGATCATGATTGTTTAAACGATATTAAAATGTGATTTTGGGATCGCCCCCAGTTTGAAAGACGAACTCGTGTATGCAGATCTATGCAGGTTTGTGTTTTGTAGGCCGCCACAAGATCCAAGCGAATTCCCAAAACAAAGTTTGGCGCCCGCGCTTTGGCATGGCTTCCAGCGCGTGCATCACATTGTAGATCCGGGTGTCGTACATGGCGCTGCCCTTGCCGGCCTTCACTGCCTTGAACCAGACATCCACCTGGCTGTCAGCTTCATTGGCTCTGCGGGTCCAAATCGGGTGCCCCAAAAGATTGTATGGAGGACACTTCAAAAATTGGGAGGAAAATTCACGGATCTGAGGGTCCAAACCCATAGGTTTATACTTCTCGTCCCAACTGCACCTTGCTCCAAAGCTTCACGGTCAATGCTGGAGATTTCTCCACCAGCAGATCAATCAGGGGCTTCGGGGGTGCAAAGTCCTGAGTGGACAAGCCCGGCGGATGTTGCAGGTAGGTCCCCACCAAAACAAGAAACAATGACAAGGTGGAGAAGGAACGAAATGAAAATGATGGCAAAGCCATGCAAAGCCCCGGATTTGTGAGTACTCCATGTTTTGATATACTACGGTAAACGGTCGTACCCAGATAAGGCTTCCAGGCCAGGCCCAACATCTTCCGAAGGTTCCAATGTTGGCTGCACTGATGTCAGGCTGAGTGGCGAAAGGCATTGGCATGTAAACATCCAACAACTTGTCGCCCACTGCCTGGCAGCTTGGCGGCATCCTGGGGTCAAAAAAAAGGCCCCTGGTACCCTCTATGACCACCGCCAAGGCGCTGGGACGATGTTCAGCCACAAACTTCAGGAGTTCCTAGGGATTGGGGGCTTCAACTGGGAGGGGGTACCCCCAAAATTACCCAAGTCATGGGTGACCATGACTTAGTATTGAAACATATTGAAACCCCATGGTGACTTGGGGATCCAGCATTTTAAGAAACCCCCAAAGCGATCCGATTCCAAGGAACTTCAGAGGTTTGAGGGGTAGTTTTCACTTGAGAGGGGGGGGACGAAAGGTAGGGGGGAAAGACAGGAGGGAGAGGCAAGAGAAGGTGCGACTGTTTGTAACGCAAGCACGCGACGACGACGACGACGACTACTACTACTACTACGTACTACTACTACTACTACTACTACTACTACTAATAGTACTACTACTAACTAGTACTACTACTACTACTACTACTATTACATACTACTACTACTACTGCTACTACTACTACTACTACTACTACTACTACTATGAGGTCTACTACTACTACTATGAGGACTACTACTACGACGATGACGACGACGACTACTACTACTACGACGACGACTACTTCTACTGACGACTACTACTACCACTAATACTACTCCTGCTACTACTACTACTACTACTACTATGAGGACTACTACTACTACTATGAGGACTACTACTACTACTATGAGGACTACTACTACTACTATGAGGACTACTACTACTACTACTACTACTGCTGCTACTACTACTACTACTACTACTATGAGGACTACTACTACTACTATGAGGACTACTACTACTACTATGAAGACTACTACGAGACGAGGTACGAGGGGCTACGTAAGAAGACGGAG